GTAATTTGTCTACTGAGATTTGATGTTGTAAATCATTATTTCAAAGGTTTTTATGATACTTGGAATAATGTAGTGTGACATATATCAATACACTTGAATTAAACTAATACGTGTTATATTACATTGAAGTAATTGTAATTAAAGGGTTTTTTAAACCATTTTTGAGAAGTTACTAATGATTTTACAAGTATCATCTTATAAAGTCCTAATGTCTTATGAATACAAGCTTTCTTTCAAGCAAACATTGTGAAAACACTGAATGTAATGTTTGCTAAACAATCTGAAAGATTTAAATTATGATGATTTATTAGAAAGAAGGTGATGTTGTAACACTTTTAAACTCTTTGTGACTTGTTTAGTCAATTGTTAATGGCCCTTTTTAAGTGATATTCAACTAGTCTTCTCAATTATGTTTCTTATTAATTACAAATTGAATGTGACTTAAGCTGTCTTGAATTCCTTAAATTATAAAGCACTAGTGTGGCAGACCATTCAACTGTGAGTTCTTAGAAGGTATGAATCATTCTGGATATGTTGTTGTTGTCGGTCAGGTGCCATTGAGTTGGTATTGACTTATAGAGACCCTATGCACAAGAGAACAGAGCACTACCCAGTCCTGCACCAACCTCACAATCATTGCTATGTTTGAGCCCATTGCTGCTGCCACTATGCCATTTTATCTCACTGAGGATTTTCCTCTTTTTCGACCATCCTCCACTTTACCAAACATGATACCCTTCTCCAGGGATTGGTCCCTCCTGATAATATGTCCAAATTTTGAGAGACAAAGTCTGGCTACCCTGGCTTCCAAGGAACATTCTGGCTGTACTTCTTACAACACAGGATCTGTAAACCATAAAATGTTAAAACATTTTCATTGCCAGGCTCCTTCTTGATCCTAATAACCTTCTGGAATAGGATTGGAGGATGTTAGTATAATCACATGTGACTGCAAGAAACAAACTCAAGGAGATTGAACAATGTGCCTAGCCCATTGCCACACACCATACACCTTTACCTCTAGGTGCTCACTGTTTTCTTCCTCCAGTCTTGGCTGTTTCCTTCATGACTCTGTACCAATTGTTGTTGTTGTTAAGTGACATTGAGTCATTTCTGACCCATAACAACCGTGTATAGGGTTTCCAAGGAGCAGCTGGTGAGCTTGAACCACCAACCTTGTGGTTCAAACGACTTTGTGGTCCAGCCCATTAACCCCATAGCATTACACCTGTTAATGTGTTAAGAATTTGAGATATTTACCTTTTTGCCTATATTTAAAGAAAACTAAAGTGAGGCATTTCTAGTGTTCTTATATTGTTTGGTCTCATGTTTTTTGTCTTCTGTTATGAAATCGAATCTCAAAAGTTTAAGACTTATCCAGTTTTATCTATTTCTCACCATAACACACGATTCCTGACAGATTTTCTAAAGTTTCTAGCTAGAACATGTAGTTTTAATTTATTATAAATTTGGGCAAGTACATAAAATTATCCTTGATTTGCAGAACAGAAAGCAGTCTGCTATCTGTCTGTTGTGGTCTTACCTCTAGTCTAATGTTTACTTAGTCATGCTAGGTATTTTGTATTTCTAAATGTTCTCATTACCTTTCTTTTCTAATACTTATTATACCCCTTAAGAAGAACATTCAGTTCTGAAGTAGATTGCATCTCTAGTTAGTAGTTTGCAGTACTGAAATTTGCGTTACAGCAGACTATGAATTTTGCTATGCCTAAATTTCTGTTGTGACGCTATAGGAAAAAGCACTGGTCCACAAAGTCAGTTTGAACCACAAGGTCAGTGGTTCAAGTTCACCAGCTGCTCTTTGTAAACCCTATACAGGGTCTCTATAAATCAGAACAACTGAAAGGCACATAACAACAGCAACAGATTTCTGTTGATAAAATATCTTGTTTAAAATCCAAGTAAATAGATTGTAGTTCATAAGGAACTACAATAGATTGTAAAATTTTATAATTGGTTTTCAGGATTTGTTCATGAGATTTTTTTTTCTGTAAATGCATATTTCAAGTCTTTATATTAAGAACAAATGACAAATACTCAGCTACCTTTTCCCAAATCATAAGCTGTGTATTCACAGTGACAAAAGTTTTCAGGTAAAACTAAAATTTAAGTGGAAAAACATTATCCCAGATTTATTTCAGTTTAGAAAAGTTTACTATAATCATTATTTTCCTTTTTATTTGCCAGATGCTGGGACACAATATAAAATACTAGTTAATATCCTCTTGTTTTTGACTGCTTTCAAGAATATATTTTGTTTGTAATTGACAGCATGCCCCATTAATCTTCAAAGCTTATAGAGTTTGGAACTTAGTTTTTTTGAAAATTTAAATTACTTGTCTTTTTAACAGCTTTGAAACTCAAAGCATGGTAATATAATTTCCCATTTGAGTATCTTTAATCATTTAGTAGTTCATTTTCCCCTGACACAGTGATTGAATATAAATTCTCTTGCTGAGTTATTGTGTGTTTGAAGACAAATGACAAAAACCACCTTATCAACTGAAGTTATCACTTATTTTTTGTATATCCCTATTATGTAGGCAAAATGTGTTTTGCTTTAATTCAACCATATTTTGTGTAGAAGCTCAGAATAACGTTAAGAATTCTGACATAACAATCGTCGTGTGAAAGAGGATTGACCATATAGATTTCTATTTATGTGGTTTAAAGCTTTTGCCAACTGTTTCAGATACTGAGTTAAAACTGAATAGATTGAACCCAGAGAGGCAGTGACACCAGAGATGGAAGCAGAGATGAGAACCTGGAGAGGAAGAGCAGCTGAGGACTCTAGACTCAGGGAAAGAGAAAAGACTGAGTACTGGTGGCCAGGAGGCTGGCTTGCAGAATGTGCCCTTAGGTTGTTTAAATTATTATATATTCCTGAATGTTTTTGTGTACACTCCCCCACCCCCAAAAACACACACACACACACACCAAAAAAAAAAATCCCGAGGTAATAGAAACAAATACTGTTGAATGATGATGTATGGAGGGGATTGTAATAATTGCAATGAGACGATAAATGTAAAGCTGATATTCTCCCATGTAAACTATCACTCAATTCACAATAAACACTTGGAAAAAAAACTGGATAGATTGGCCGCTTTTACAGCAAGAACATACATCACTACTTGATTCTCTCTGTCCTGACTACCTGTTAATGGATTCTGACTTTCCCTCTTGTTGTTCTGTATTGGTTTGTGCAAGGCCCTTCCTTGAGGGATGCAAATATCTATAAGCCCTCTAGCACAGTGCTGCCCAATAGAAATTTCTGTGTTGATAAAGATCTCCTACGTTACTGTTTGGAACAAGTGTGGCTAGTAGTGGCTGGCTCCTGAAAACATAAAATGTTGCTAATATTATTGAAGAACTAAAATTTTTATTGTATTTATCTTTGGTAAATTGTAATTAGCCACACATAGTTGTTAACTGCATTGGACAGTGTATATATTGCCCAGCATAGCATCTGGAAGTTGAGAAGATAGTGGGAGATACAGTCATCTAAATTAAAGTACAAAGCTGCCATCGTGGGAGCCCAGAAGAATCAATTGCTGTTAAGGTTCAAACAGAACTTTTCAAGAGAGGCATTTCTTAAGATTTTTATGGGTAAGAAGAATCTTGGAAGGTGGAGAAAATACAATAGATTCATGTGATCACTTTGCCAAGATCACAACCACCCAAATACTGCCCCGTATCTTTTCAAAAATTGCTGTTGTTGTTAAATGCTGTTGAATCAGTTCTGACTCATAGAGACCCTGTATAGGGTTTCTGAGGTGTTAAATCTTTGCAGGAGCAGAAAGCCTTGTCATTCTCTTGCAGAGCATCTGGCAAGCTCAAACCAAGGACTTTGTGTTTCACAGCTCAGCCACCATGTTCCCTTTTACCAAAATGGTTGTTGGTGGTTATGTGCCTTGTAGTTGGTTCTGACTCATAGTGACCCTCTGTAGGGTTTCTGAGGCTGTAATTCTTCACTGGAGCAGGTAGACTCATCTTTCTCATGCAGAATAGGTAGGTAGTTTCGAACCAGCTTACCTGGAGGTTAACAGTGTGACTTATAACCACTATAATGCCAAGAAAAGATAATTGTATGTCATCTTGTTCATTCTCTGTTTTTATTTCCTTTTTCTTTCAGGGACTAGCCCAATATTTGGCACATAATTGACATGAGTAAATATTTCTCAAGTTAAATTGAATAGGCCCTAAAAAATAAGTAGAATTTGATTTTGGTTTTTTGGGGGTTTTGGTTGTTGGAGTTTGTCAGATCATTTAGTGTTTGTTTATTATTCTAAAATGGTTAAATTTTACATTGGATTAATCAATGAAGGCATGGACTGTATTCCTTGGATTTGGTGCCTTAGTAATAAGAATATGTGCTTTTGGGGAGGGAAAATGAAAACAAGTTGAAAAGATCATAGGTTAAAATTTCTGATCTTTAAAGAAAGAAAATCATTTGTAGTTTTAAACACTGAAATATGACCTGAAGTACTTGTTTATTATAAGTGTCATTTAAGCATCTGCATATAATAATAGAGTGAGATGTTAACTACTGAAGTTTCATCTTGCAGAGTAAACCATTCTTGGACTCTAAAATTAAAAATTAAAAAATTAAAAAGATTCCAAAGCTTTTGCTATTACCTTATTGGTGGTGGTGATGGTTATGTGCCGATAGCGACCCTGTACAGGTTTCCGAGGCTGTAAATCTTTACAGGAGCAGAACTCCCCATGTATTACTTGCACTGATATATTTATGAAACATCAATTAAATATTCAACATTTCTGTTAACTATTGAATTAGTAGTTTTGAGTTTTTTCTGTGTTTTGCTTCTCTAAAAAAAATAGCAATTTTGCTTTCCTCAGCTCACTGCCTATAAACTAGCTTTTTCAATAAAAAATTTCTTCAGAAGTATCTTATAATGTCTAATCTTGGATGAGCATCTGAAATATTACCTTCATTTAGATTTTATGTTTAATTCCAGGTACAGCAGTTTAAACAGGATCCGCGCCCAACAACATGTCTTCACTCTATTTTCAATGTGTACACTGGAGATGAAGTTTTCTCCTATGAGGAATATGGGCATCTTCAGGTAAAAAGGATTGTAAGCTTTTTTCTTCTGTAGCGTAGTGGTTACAAATTGGCCTGCGAACTGCAAGGTCAGCAGTTCGAAACTACCAGCTGTTCCATGGGAGAAAGGTGAGTCTTTCTGCTCCCATAAAGATTTACAGCTTCGGAAACCCAGTACAGGATCGCTATGGTTGGAACCAACTCCGCAGCACATAGCAACAACAACATTTATACTTCACATCATAGAAGATTTGAGGCTATTTACAATTTTTTTAAAATTAAGATTTCTTAAATTGTTCAGGATAGTAGAAAATCAGTGATGTAATGGAGGAGAAAGGGCTGAATTAGTTGCTGTGATTGACTGAATATGGAATCTTAACTGTGGATTCCTGGTCCTCAAGTGAAAAGGGAAGCTGAGAGAACTATAATATTATTGGTATCTAGAAGGAATACTACAGTCTTTCAATATCCAAAGCTTTTACTTGATGATGAGTTTAGAACAGGTTTCAACACTTAGGAACCAGGGAACAAAAGACAGTTTTGACAGTGGTGTAATAGCGCATCAGAGCATTTCCTCATACCATTGTATTTTAAAGTATTTTAATCTTCAGTAAAGCCAGAAACACTTGTGATATGGCAATGTAGGATCAGCACTGGACTGCGAACCATAAGGTCAGCAGTTCAAATCCACCAGCTGCTTCTCAGAAACTGTACATAGAATCACTATGATGTAACTCAGTGGCACTTAGCAACAGTACCATATATTGAGATGGTATTCCAAAGGGCATTCTGGAGACCATAAAGTTTGTGTTGTACTAAATTTTATATCTCTGCTAAGAATTCTCTTTGTTCTTTTTGCATCTGTATATCATTATTAGTTAGGCCTCCTGTTGCCTTGCTTGCAAGTTACCAGTGTAATATAAACTGTTTGTTATTAATAGATATTTTTCCTCTTTTCACTTGATTCTGCAATCTTTAGAACAGATTATTTATTATTCATACATTCCCTACTAAAATAAGAATATCTCCTTTTTATGGACCTTCTCTGTAGAGATCAACACAATCTTACTTGAGTGTGAGTCTTCAAATGTAGAAAATACAGTGTCTCCATTTCATTGCTCAGAATTCCTGTTCTTACATGTCAGGTCAGTTACTTAGAGAATTAATGTCAAATGAATCTGTAGCTTCTTTACCATAACCTTGTAACTATAATATAGGTAAGTTTTATGTGCTTTTTAATTTAGTAGAAATATCTGATGTTGGGATTTTATAAGAGAGTGGCTGCGTGAATAATATATTGTATAAAAATCAATACAAGGCTGGTCCCTGTGAGTTGGAGGTTGAAGATGTCTCAACTGTTTGACTTTTCTGACATGTTACGCCCCTCCATAGTCCTTGATGTCAATTACTACTATTCCCTTACTTCAAGTCCCAGGGTTCTGCAACATGCTGCAAATCTCACAAAACTCACAGTTGGCAAAAGAAATGGATCAAAATTGTGGAGGCTGGCAAGTTCCAAATCTGTAGTTTGGAAATCAATCTGGAGAAATCTTCTCCCCTAGACTCCTGGTTTGGTGCTGTGGGCTAATGTGTCAGACTGCAAAGTCATTTGAAATGCAAAGTCAGTGGTTCAAGTTCACCAGCTGCTCTTTGGAAACCCTATACAGGGTCGCTATGGGTCGGAATCGACTTGACGGCACTTCACAACAACATGTAGTCTTAGGAGCTGAGGAACCCAAATCAGCAGGTCAGATGACAGGCTGTTGATGTACAAATGTGCAGGAACTAGTTAATCACATCGAGTGATGGGTCAAAAGTCCCACAATTAGAAGTCAGGCATAATGAGCCAGATGCAAGATCCAGGGCAAGAGAGCAAACTTTTCCAAAGCAGTCTTATAAATTAGAGTTAGACCATGTTCCGAAGGGAATCTCAGTGTGGTTTCTTGAGTCACACCCTCTACTAAGATGGGACATTCTTTCTTTTTTTTTTTTT